TTTACCAGATTATTTATGGCAGGGTTTCCCACAATTACCCTAAACTGCAAACTACCCAAATGACCACTAGTAGCTTAGGTATGGCAACCAGCCGCATGAATTAAATTTTTTTCTTAGGGCTGGACAGGGAGAAGTCAACTGGAGGCCTGATTTTCTTAGAAGCCAGGCTCTTTGGATGTGGCTCTACAGTAACAACTGAGGAGATGGTAAAGAAAATGGGCTTTCCCCAAGCCAGGTGGTAAAACACTAATATCGTGGGAAAAGTAAGGGGCTGTTGTAACAGCTGGGATTGGATATACTGCCCACAGAATACCAAATTAAAAGGAATGATAGTGCTTTTATTAATTAAACAGCAACCTATGTGCTCCCCTCCTCAAGTGAGAAGACACAAAAAGTCCCGTTCTTTGTTCCCTACCTGCCCTTATAGTTTCTTTGTTCCTATGGCAACTGGGCAGGAATGCTGTGCCCCTCTATCCTGTAGGTGCCAGGTCTCAGCAGGAATGTGATGGCCCTATATCCTGTAGGTGGGAGGTCTCTGGCAGAGGGATTTATGGTTAAGCATGGGCAAATAGTCTCTTATTGCCCTAAATGGGTCCTGTCTCCTTCTATGTTTGCCAAGTTCTGACAGGGCAGGTGAAGGAGTAAGGAATGGGGTAATTTAAGCAAGACTGCTTCTATGTAAATACTTCAGGCAGGGGTTAAACTAACTTGAATTTTGCCTCAGTCTCTTTTACTTCTAAAAGCGAACAGGGTATTATGCTAGACGCCATCCCTTACACCGTACGGAGTCCCAGTTCTTGAAAGTCACTAAACAGCCTTGCACCCCTGCTCAAGTCCTGGCATTTCTCTGCACTCGAATTTTTAAAATCTCAAAATCAGAGAACTGTAGCCTGGATTTCTGAGTTCTGTGGGTTTCAGGCTGCCCCAAGCAAACAGTTTGCTACCCCAGGACAGGCGCCAGTGGACTCGGTCTGCACCGCGCGGCACCCTATAGCGGTCAGAGAACAGCCTGAGGTGGCCATCTCCGCTGCGAGGGCGTGTCACCACACAGGTCCTAGGGGGGGTCCCCCACCCACCCAAACCGTGAAATTATATCAATTCCTATCGATAAAATTTTCAGAGCAGCAGTAAGAGAAAGTGATTAGGTAGAAATTTAAAGTACAGATTCAAAGAAATTGCGCGGGCTCTTAGAGGGGCGCCTGTGACCCGAGCTAGGTACACTGATGGGCCTTGGGACTGTCTCAGGGTGGGTGGCCTCGGGTGTGGACTAGTTTGTCACACAGCACAGCTGGCGGCTGTGTCACAACGCAAACCACTGACATGTTAGAAGGCGGGATGCGGAGCCCACGGATACTGCTGCTTCCTTCAGGCTGGAGGCGCAATTTACTCGCGAAAAGTGTGTGGGGAAGGGGAAGCCAATACGCAGGCGAAAGGGCTCGGGCTTGTGTGTCTTGGAAGAGAAAAAAATTTAAACTGAGCTTGAGTAACTTTTGTGTTCTTAAGCTGCAGGGGGTTTTAAAGTGCTTTTTTTTTTTTTTGATACCAGGATCAAACTCAAGACCTTGCGCTTGCCAGACAGGCGTTTATGCCACTGAGCCGTAACCCTGGCCCTGAAGTGCACTTTTAAAACTCCGATTTGCCTCGCCTCCTTCCAACCTGCACTTCTCCTCCTCCACCCCTCGAGCAGCAGCGCCCGCGCAGAGTCCTTACCCAACTCCGGCGCAGAACTCGCTCCCTAGGTTACCGGCGTCGCGATGCCCCCAGCCCTACCCCACGACCCAGCTACGTGTTCCCAGCAGCGCTGCTGAGCTCACACCGGGCTGGGGTGAGTGAGGGTCGCGAGAGCCACGGGTGGAGAGGACCAGAGAAACCAAAAGGAAGCCGGCGCTCCACAGGCGGCTGGAAAAGATCCAGCAGAATCTCACAGGACCGGACCGCCGAGATTCCAGCCAATCAGGGGGCTGGGTGGGCGGTCCGGGGCGGGGCGGGGCGGGGCGAGGCGGGGCAATCTCGCGGGATTTCAGCCTCCGGACCCTTCCGGGCTCGGGGGCCGGGAGGTCGTGTCGGGGGACGTCGCTGGAGCTGTGCTAGATCGTGCGCGGGGGTGGTCGGGACGCCGAGTGGCTGCGGGTGTTGAGCCTGCGGCTTCCGACTTTCTCAGTCTGGCGCCGCCAGACGAGAGTCGCGGCTCTGATTCCAGGGCGGTCTCTGAGGTGACTGCAGTCTCCTCAGGGAACCTGGTGCCCGCCAGGGGGAAGCCTCCGGGTCACTCCCCCGGGGGTGGGCGTGGGAAGAGAGCTGGGGGATGGCATTTAGGTCCCGTAAAGGGCACCAGTTTTAAGGGTATGACTCGGATTTATAGTATCAGTCATGTATGGCTTATGACAAGATTTAGGTGTGTCCGTGGGCGACCTTATCCATCATAGAGCGTATTTGATAGGAGGCAGCTATGCTGTCTCTGGGCCGTATAATCTTTTGGGAGCACCATTGTAAATGCGGCTCCCCTGAGTGAAAAGCCATTGCACCAAGCTTGGCTGTATTTAGGGAGTTGTGCTGTCACTACAATAAGGAAGTCCCGCCGAAGGAATAGATTTAGAGAACCAAGGAGTGGTCCCTAAGGCACTTCAGTGTTTAGAATTCAAGATGAACCCGAAGGAAAGGTGGAAAATGAGTCCATTGTCTTAGAAAACCACGTGAATGAAATTTAAGAATTTGGGTGTGATGGCACATGTCTATAATCCCAGCACGTTTGAGAGGCTGAGGCAGGAGGATCACAAGTTCAAATCCAGTTTGGGCAATTTAGTGAGCCCCTATCTTGAAATTTAAAAAAGGCTGGGTATGGTGGTGTATACCTATAATCCCAGCACGCAGGAAGGCAGAGGCTTGAGGATTTCCAAGTTCAAGGACAGAACTGCATAGAAGACCATGTCTCAAAAAACCCAAAGAAACACTGTATCTCCAAGTGACAGACGACCTGGAGCTGGATCCCTCAAACAAAACCACTCTTAAATTTCTGTTAGATAACTCATCTGGTTTTGGCAACAGAATGAAAAGAATGAATACATTCCCTCTTAGGCCTCCGAAAGCAAAACAGGGTTGGCCCAAAGAAGCAGGTAATATTACTCCTTCCTATTAGGAATTATAAAACTCATATACATAATTTACTCTTTTTTTTTTTTTTTTGTGGAACGGGGGATTGAACTCAGGCCTTTGCATTTGCCAGGCAAGCGCTTATTCTGCTGAGCCACCTCCCCAGCCCCTACATAATTTACTCTTTAAAAAGCTAAAAAAAAAAAAAAAAAAAAAAAGATAATGGGGGCCAGGGAGATGGCTCAGTGGAATAAGCACTTCCCTGGCAAGCACAAGAGCTTGAGTTCAATCCCCGGTTCCACCAAAAATAAAATAAAATAAAATAAAATAAAATAAAATAAAATAAAATAAAAGCTAAATATTTTAATGCTGGTGAGAATAAAACCAAATAGTCCAAGTTGACTGTAAGGTGGATTGGAATAGTATATCAACCTGAAAAAGTTTGACTTTACATATAAATACCCATTATTTTAAAATCATGAGTTTAAAAATCCATTATTGAGGGGCCAGGGAGATAGCTCAGTGAATAAGCTCTTGCCTGGTAAGCGCAAGGGCCTGAGTTCAATCCCTGGTTCTGCAAAAAAAAAAAAAAAAAAGCCACAAAAAAATGAAAAGCTTTTCTATCCAGATTTAATTTCTGCCGTAGAAACTGAAGTAAGAAACAAATATTTGTGGGCCAGGGAGAGGGCTCAGTGGAATAAGTGCTTCCTTGGCAAGCACAAGGGCCTGAGTTCCTTTTTTTTTTTTTTTTTTTTTCTCTTTGGTGGAATCCTCAGTTCCACCAAAAAAAAAAAAAGAAAAAAAGAAAAAAAAGAAACAAATATTTACTCAAACTGAGAAATAGTTACCAGCAATGAGAGATCTCTGTGTGTATCTTCTGCTTGTGTAGATTCTGTCTGAAATTAGGAGGCTGAATGATTTAAATGAGACAGTAATTAAAAGCCATTTATGGCCTAAAGCCACAACCGGATATATAGCAGTTGCTGCTGTATCATTTCAAATAAGGATAGAAACAGGCTTTCGGGACTGTTGGGTTTTGTCCTTAGAACTAAAACATGAGTGACTGAATGTCACAGTGTGTGTGTTTTGTTAGTGTCTTAGTCTAACAGTGTTGGGAAAGACAAAGACTAGAAGAGTCTCCTTTAGAATGGACACTGGAGGAGGCTTGTAAGAGAATTCCATTTGGATCATGTCTGGTTCCTTGCCCTGTAGTTGTCTTCTCCTTGCCCAGACAGAAAGAGAAGTGCAGTTGTCACTCCCTGCACACTACTTCACTGCTTTGCTGCCTTCTGCTTACCATGAACTGTTTTCCCTCTGCAGTGCTCCTCTGCCTTGGAGCCAGCAAACTGTGAATTGAAACTTTACAGATTGTGAAAGAATCTTTCACAAGATGGAGCCAGCAAACTGTGAATTGAAACTTTACAGATTGTGTAAAGAAGGTAAGAAAACCTTCCTTCTTTTGACTTTGGGTGTCAGGTATTTTGTCACAGCAACAGGAAAAGTAACAGACAGTTCAGGGCAGAAAGAACCAAGGAACCATCAACAGAAGAAGACTGCAGTATCCCCAAATCTGATAGCATGATGACTTTTCAAAGATATCTTTAGCATGGCCTCCTAAAACCAAACGTGGTTACTCTATGTCTCAGCAGTTTGGCCTCATTCATCACAGAGTGCAGTGAAGACAGCTATCAGTTAAGTTTTAACATGTTACTGAAATTCACAGGGCTGGTGAGACAGTTCAGCGGAATAAGCTCCTGCTTAGGCAAGCACAAGGACTGGAGTTTGATCTCCAGCACCACATGCCATGCCGGCC